CATCACGAGATGGGTTGACTACGCCCCATGCTCCGGATTTCTATACCGTTGCGTCCCCTTCTCCTGCTTCGTCGACGTTCGCCATCACCCACTTCACTGGACTTCTTTCCACCATCGTCACTTCCTGGCGTCGACTACATCATCATAGTCGAGATCCCGAGTTCTAGTGTTGTATGCATGTTTATGTGTTTTCTGTTTATTTATACCCTCTTAGGACGTACCCCATCGGGACTTCGCTATCTGCGTGCCCCCAGGATGAGGGCAATCCGCCTCACCTCAGACCTATAGCAGACCCGCTTCTGCAAAAACAAGCAACCTTCCCATCTCAACGTGCTCGTGGACAAGAGTGTCTATGACAGAATCTACATCTACTACATCTAGGAGGCAAGCCACCGTCGGGCGGGCATTCCTTTAAACTATGCTACGAGTATATCGAATAGTGCCCTCGTGTTGACCAAGCTGTGCCGTGGCGTTAGCCTTGGCCAGGCCGCCCGCTACCTCTACAGCAGCATCGAAATTCTCAGCTTTACCCTCCCACACCTGTTGTTGTTAGCAAAGCGCAGGGTAGGGCGGAAACGGAAGCGGGAGAGCGAGAGGGAGGAGAGACCGGTGGTAGGTTGGTTGAATCAGCCTGTTGTGATCGAATCGGCATTTCGTACTGAATAGTTTTTACAATCATGAGAGTCCAATACAAGCACCATACTATCCTTTAAGTGAACCCTGCTGTTAGACGTGCTCACAGCATCGACAGATTATTGCAAGCAAGAAATTTCCCAGCAGATGGAGCGGGGAGTTTGGGGTTCAGCAGTTGCTTTGGATTCGATTTGATGGTACCAACTTTGCCGTATATTACAGGATTGAGGGTGGGGGTATGCGTGTGTCTACAACGGATATGGTGATTATGTGTTGTGGTTTCTCACTTGTTTTTCCTTTCCTCTTTTTCCTCCTTCCTGCGTGCAATCAATTCCTTTTTCCCCGGCTACCACGCTACCACGGCTATCACGCCACGACTTCCACGCCAATCCTGGCTATCACGCCACCCGGCTATCACACCTTCCGGACACCCACGTCCTTACATATTCCTTTACACCACGGCTATCACGTCACCAGGCTTCCACGCCACATCCAGGGATACCATACCCGAGCTATCACGCTCCATCCCAAAGTAGAAGGCTGTCACGCCCATCATACTTTCAACGCTGTACCGTTGGCGGCAACCGCGCCGCTGGCTCTTTTATTTCCCAACCAAGGGACCCCGCGCGCCAAGGCACCGACGCCCAAAGCTACTCAACACGCTAGCGTAACGATCACGAGAGTGGCCGCCGTGTCTAAGCGCGCAACATGCCGGACGGAGATGGACGACAACCTCCGGGGGGATCAGGTCAGGGTGTCCCTCCCCCCGGGGAAGGCGTGACGGACGGAGGAGGGAGCGATTCTTTCTTCGTCAACGATGCACGAGACCGAGGGGGTGCGCGAGCGGCAGGAGGGGAAGATCAGCGCGACACGATGCGTGAGCTGGTTGACCTCTTCAAGCAGGCCTTCGCGATATCATCTCATGACCAGGGGCACCGTGCCCACTCAGGCACGTCTAGCAATCAGATTTTAGAACTAAGGCAGAGAGAAACGATAGATGTACCAGCATGGAGTGATGACTATCTGAAGAACAGATCGATCGAAGTTGCATTGCGAGTGTTCACGAGTGCTTTTGAAGCGTGGCTGGAGAGTGAGGGACTTGCTGGTGTGATGAGGAGTTCAGAGGTCCCTGTTGGGGCAGCTGGTGTGGATTTGAACTGGTTGAGCAGCACGTTCGGAGAGGAGAGAGCGAAGCAATCCAGGAAGATTTGGACGTTTATGCTAGCTAAGATCACAGCACAACGCGTACAAGCCCAAATCTTGGCATCAGAATCACCTCAAGCAGGGTACCGCGTGTTTCTCGAACAATACAGCCAGGACAAGATTCAGGAGCGACAAACTCTTGACGACGCATGGAACGCAATAGGCCAGAGGCAAGGAGAGAGTCCTATGGACTATTACGGCAGGGCAGTTGCGCTGTGGCTGAGACTTCGATCGTATGGTGATAAGTGGGATGAAAAATCGATGTGCAGGCACATAGTCCGGGGATTTATCCCAACGTTTGACAAAACTAAAGACCGTCTTCTGTTTGATTCGATGTTGTCGAAGGCTACAATACAGGAGATGCTGAGGTTGGAAAAGCACGAGCTGAGGTACGAGCGGAGACATGGAGAGGGGAAGGAAGAGATGAGACACGCCCTCGTCGCTGCCGGCGTGGGCCGGGGCGGCGGGGCGGGGAAACCAGCCGCTGCAGGATCGGAGCAAGGCGGAGATCGACTCCAGCAACCACAGGGGTCGGTGCAGCCACATCAGCAACAGCCATCGCATTTCTGCCAGCTCCACGGCCCCAACAGCACCCACGAGACCTCCGAATGTCGCAAGCTACGCCACGAATTCCTCGCCCACTACAACGAGTTCTGCGCGTACATGAGCGGGAGGCGGGAGGCCCAGGGGTCGGTCTTCCCTCGAGGCGGAGCTCAAGACTCGGGGCGGATGGTTGGTGGCCCATCTCGACAGCAGCCGTACCAAAACGAACAAGGTGCGGGCTGGAGTCGGGGCCACTCTCCAGCGCTGCCGGGACCGCCGCGTGGGCCAGGATCCGGAGCTGGAGGACAACTGCAGGGGCGCAACCCTGGGGGGCGTGGGTATGGTGGATACGGTCCTTGCCCCCCGGAGAGCCGAGGTCGTCAGGTGGGCGGCCGTGGTGGTAATTATCCGCCACCCAACGTTCCTTCCGCGCAGATTGCTAACGTACCGTGGCCCTATTTTCCGGTTCATTTCGCCATCGGAGGTGGAGAACTCAGGCGGCGACATCACCTCGGGATGGGAGGCCACGACAGCGCCAGGGTCGACACCCAGCTGGACTCCACCACCTCCTGAGGCAGGCTACGGGTACGGGCTCGCGGCTCGCGGAGTGGACCATGGCGGAGGTCCCTACGGCAGCGCCGCCAGCGGGGGATACGGTTTCCACCAATTGCCCGTCGGCGGAGGGCTCTACCAGCAGCAAGAAGTGAGCAATGTACCACACTATCCTTCTGCTGCCGGACCGGACGCCCAACAACCGCGAGCCTACGAGGTCTTCGACACCTCGCAGCAGCAACCGCAGCAGCAGCACCACGGTGCACCTCAGACGACCTCTTCCTCCTCCTCTCCCTCTCCAGCTCCAGGCGACGCTCTACCTCCAGCCGGCGATTCCCCCCTGCATCTCTTCATGGCACGTGGCGTGTGCCCTCATGGCAAGTCTGAGATTGATCTTGAGAAGGATGTTGGTTTTTCGAAGTCTGACGTGTTCANTCTCCCTCTCCAGCTCCAGGCGACGCTCTACCTCCAGCCGGCGATTCCCCCCTGCATCTCTTCGTGGCACGTGGCGTGTGCCCTCATGGCAAGTCTGAGATTGGTTTTGAGAAGGATGTTGGTTTTTCGAAGTCTGACGTGTTCACGAGTGCGGAGTCTCATATGTCAATGCCTGGTGTTCCCCGCGTGCCTGCTGTGCATGAACGTACTGATGATGAGTTCGGTGTCTCGAAGTTTGGTGTGTCTACTCATGACATACCCCGCGTGCCCGCGGTACTTGAGAGTCCTGATGAAGTGGTCGGCTTTCCGGAGTGTGATGCATCTGTCCCTGCTCCACCAAGTGTGCCTGGAAAGGTAGTCGTAGCCCGTCTCACCCGCCGTCCCACGGTTGAGAAAGCTTTCTTGTGCCAACCCTCCATGCCGAGTCCGATTGGTAGTGAACAATGGCAGGCCGATTCAGGAGCTAGTGCAGTGATTTCGAACAAAGTGGATGAAATGTACAATGTACGCCACTTGGGCCCGGATGAACAATTTATTCAGATTGGAGACTCGGCTCTCATCAAGGTTGCCGCTGTAGGGAGTTTGGACCTTAGGTTCCACCAAATCGGAGCCGACGGGAAACAGAAGGATTTGGACGTCACTGTGCCAGTAGTTTCGTTTGTACCCGGGTGTGGTTTCAACCTTTTCTCGGTATGGAAGGTGTCTCACAAGCATGAGGTCCGTATCAACCCCAACCGTGCGCAAATGATGCACGGAAAACTGCGATTTATTCGTGGCGTTTCGAGCAATTCCCTTATTGCAACCCGCCTTCCCCACAAATCCCTGCCTTCTATGGACGTTGCGAATGAGAGTGCCCGTGAGAGTTCTTTTTCCTTTGTGGCATTGGCTCTTACAGCCGCGATGGATTCCGATCTAGAAACTNCCAAATCGGAGCCGACGGGAAACAGAAGGATTTGGACGTCACTGTGCCAGTAGTTTCGTTTGTACCCGGGTGTGGTTTCAACCTTTTCTCGGTATGGAAGGTGTCTCACAAGCATGAGGTCCGTATCAACCCCAACCGTGCGCAAATGATGCACGGAAAACTGCGATTTATTCGTGGCGTTTCGAGCAATTCCCTTATTGCAACCCGCCTTCCCCACAAATCCCTGCCTTCTATGGACGTTGCGAATGAGAGTGCCCGTGAGAGTTCTTTTTCCTTTGTGGCATTGGCTCTTACAGCCGCGATGGATTCCGATCTAGAAACTCCCCGTGTGACGGATGCTGTAGCGGAATACTCGGCGAAGATGATTGATGTGTGGGAGAGTGAAGCGTGTGAACGCGCTATGGCTGTGATGTGTCCGGGGAAGACACCTTTCAATGTCGGCAATGCACAAAAGGTTATGGATATTAACACGTTCCACAACCGTGCCGGCCACTTGTCCAAACCCATTTTGAGACTGTCCGCGAAGCAGCACGGGATTACCCTCACAGGCACGATGGACAGCTGTCGATGGTGCTTGCCGGCGCGTAGGAAGAAGGCGGCGGTGCCGAAGCAGGGGGGCGGGTACCGCGGCAAGAGGGCGCCGAACGACGTGTTCCACATCGACCTCTGCGGCGCGTACACGGCGGCGATCGGTGGCAACCACTATATGCTCTTCGGTGTGGACGCCGCCACGGGATGGATGGTCTGTTACGCCATGCGGCGTAAGTCGGAGGCGCTAGCGGTCGTCAAGCGCATGGTCGTGGATGCCGCCCACATGGCTGGTACCGCGATCAAGTGCATCCGCTGCGACTGCGATGCCCTCTGGACCAGCAGCGACTTCAAGGAGTTCTGTGCCAGCATGGGGATCGCGCTCGAGTACTCCCTTCCCGACGTGCAGCAGTACGACGGCGTCGCCGAGAGCGCCATCCAGAGGTGCCTCAAGGTGGCCAAGGCATCCCGCCGGGCCGCCCAGGAGCTGCTTGGCCCCGCAGGATTTTCTCGTGTCCGCGGGCTGAGCGTTCGTGGCGATGAGCTCTAGGCGGAGTCCGCAAAAGACGCTGCGCAAAAGCTGAACCAGTCAGCATCTCCTTCCAACCGCGGGGGTGCAACGCCGCGGGAACTCTACACCGGCAAGGGAGGCCCTTTTCGCTTGATCCCGTCCTTCCAGTGACGGCATCATGTGGAAGCGGCCGGCAACGAAAATGGACGACAGGGCCGTGCCGTGCTTTTTCCTCAACGCCGGGGACAACTACGCCGACGTCACCGTTAAGGTGCTCAACGAGGACCGGCCACGTGTGCAATCTTCAAATGTAGCGTGGGCGGCACTCCCGCCGTCGGGGGGGGGGGGGGGCAATGCTTCACCAACCCCCTCCGCGGGGACTCTACCCACGCCCCAGCATCTACCCTTCGAGATCGTCGCTTCGCCGCCGCCTTCGTGGCCCCCGTTGTGGCCCGCGCCTTCGCCTGGTGCTGCCGCTCCACCGCTTCCGAGGCCGCCCGCGTCATCGACATCCGCCTCTTCACCGCCGCCCGCTGCTGTTGCCGCCGCCGGACCGTCGCTGTCGCCGTCGCCGCCGCTCCCGGACTGGTCGTCCTCATCCATTGAGGCTGAGCAGTCCCCGCCGCAACCGCACCAAGACCGGCGGACCACACAGTCGGCGACCGCACCGGGGTACGCACCTCTCACGCCCCATGCTTCGAGACTGCTCGGCGAGGGGGGAGATCCGCGGATCCGAGGACGCACGAGAGCGGAAGCGCGCACCATCGCCCAGCAACAGCTTTCTGCCCTATCGGTGGACCGGCAGTTGCCATCACTGCAGGACGATGCCGTCACCACGCCTCTCCCTCCGACCGAGATCACCATGGGGCTGCTGGCTCAAGCAACCGAAGACGTCCTTCTCTCCATGCTGGATGCTCGGCGAGTCGTGAACGGCAAGACAGTGCTCCGGCCAGGATTGGAGGGGGGCGGCGAGAAGGGGGGCGGAGGCGAGCAGCTCGCGAAGAGTGAGGGGGTGAGAGAGAGCAAGGGCAATTTGCCGGAGGTGGACACCGGCGAGGGGGGACGCATGGGGAATGGTTGGTCGATCGGTCCGTCTAAGCGGGGCGTCCCGCTTGGACTTGTGGCGCGTCTTGCGACGCGTGACGACCTTGACTCAGCTATGCGCGAGATGGAGCCGCCTCTCCTGCGACCCGACATGCCGCGCTGCCACGCCAAGGACCTCCGAGTACCCCAGACTTTCAAAGAGGCAAAGCAGAGCGAGCACAGCGAGCAGTTCATGGATGCGGCCAAGCGAGAGGTGTTTGGATTGCTAGAAGCAGACGCGTTTAAGATTGTTGGACCGTAGCAGCGAATAGACAATTGCATCAAGTCGAAGTTGATTTTTGATTGGAAGGTAGATGCGTTCGGCTTTCCTACGAAGGCCAAGGCTAGACTTGTTGCGAGAGGAGACATGCAGAAGGAGTACATTGACTTTGGTGATTTGTATGCACCTACTGTAGCTTCATCTAGTGTTCGTATGTTGGCAGCTTTGGCGTGTGAGCTTGACTTGGAGTTGTGTCACTTCGATATCGACCAGGCTTTTGTGAGGGCCCCTCTCAAGGAAGATATTTTCATGCGACTGCCGGAAGGATGTGGTGCGTTGTCGGGGAAGATAGTGCAGTTGAACAAGAGCCTTTATGGCTTGAGGCAGGCATCTAGAGAGTGGTACGCGTTACTGAAGAAGTGCCTTTTGGCTTTGGGGTTCGAGCAGTGCATGGCTGATTCGTGTGTTTTTCATTTAGTCGAAGGGGGGGAAGTAGTGTTGCTTCTAGTAGTACACGTAGACGACATTTTTGCAGTGGGGACGAAGGAGAGATGTGATCAATTCGGGAAGGACCTGGGAGAGTACGTGCCGGTGAAGTCTCTGGGGGAGTTGAAGTGGTACTCCGGTTGCTATTACGAGAGGGACAGAGAGGCAGGCAGGCTGACGATTTCACAGCAGACATACACCGAAGAGCTGGGAGACAAATATGGTGTCGAGTGGGGGGGGGGGCATTCCTTTGCCCACCACCTGGATACTTTGGGACTTCGACTTGAACGAGCCACGCGTATAGTACCCTTTTCGCGCGCTGGTCGGTTCGCTGTTGTTGTGGATTGCCTTGTTGACTAGGCCGGATATCGCGAATTCGGTGAGAGCAGTGGCGAGGTACTGTAGTGCATCGAAGTTGATCCACTGGAAGGCTGCACTTGGCATTTTAGGATATGCAGTTAGGACTAGTTTTTGGGATTTCTTTTCAGAGGGGGACGGTCTCGGGATTTTATTTGATTGCGTTTGTCGACGCGGACTACGCTTCCCGTGCGGCAGACCGTAGGTCGGTTTCGGGAGGGGTAGTGATGTGTGCAGGAGGGGCGATTGCATGGTTCTCCAAGACTCAGAAGTGTGTGACTTTGTCTACCACGCAGGCTGATTACGTGGCAATGGCGGACATGGGGAAGGAGATTTTGTTATTGAGGCAGGTTTGGCGTTTCATGTTGCCTAAGGAGTTGCGGCCGTGCATTCCACTGCATGAAGATAACGAAGGGGCTATCCAGGTCGCAAAACACCCGATCTCGAATTCCAACTCGAAGCACATCGACGTGCGGCATCACTTCCTCAGGCAGCTCGTAGATGAGAAGGAGGTAGAGATCATCCACGTAGCATCGAAGTATCAGCATGCCGACTTCCTCACGAAGGCGCTGCCAGAGAGGGAGTTTGTTTCCCACCGGGACTACGTGATGAGCTTGAAGTGAATAGTCCGGGAGATCTTTTTCGTTTTTGGGTCTTGTGTCTTTTGTTTTTTTTCGTTCGATTTTGGGTTTTGTGTTGATTTGTTTGATTTTCTAAGAAATCGAGTTCAAGATTAACCGGTGGAAATTGTCGCAAGTATTTCTGGTTTAATGGTTGGCAATAATGCAAACCGACAGGAATTCTAACGAATGTTTGTGGTTTAGGGGATTTATTGCTGTGACAAGAATGCAGTTTGGGATGAAGGGAATGTCTTGCACTAAATTTTGTCTCGGTCAGGTATGTGGTATGTATGGGATGAAAATAAGGATAGTATATTAAAGTCCGGGTGTGGTCTTGTCAATGCAGCGAGTAGGGGGGCTGTTAGACGTACTCACAGCATCGACAGATTATTGCAAGCAAGAAATTTCCGAGCAGATGGAGCGGGGAGTTTGGGGGTTCAGCAGTTGCTTTGGATTCGGTTTGATGGTACCAACTTTGCCATATGTTACAGGATTGAGGGTGGGGGTATGCGTGTGTCTACAACGGATATGGTGATTATGTGTTGTGGTTTCTCACTTGTTTTTCCTTTCCTCTTTTTCCTCCTTCCTGTGTGCAATCAATTCCTTTTTCCCCGGCTACCACGCTACCACGGCTATCCCGCCACGACTTCCACGCCAATCCTGGCTATCACGCCATCCGGCTATCACACCTTCCGGACACCCACGTCCTTACATATTCCTTTACANAAGGCTGTCACGCCCATCATAGTTCCTACACTGTACCGTTGGCGGCTACCGCGCCGCTGGCTCTTTTATTTCCCAACCAAGGGACCCCGCGCGCCAAGGCACCGACGCCCAAAGCTACTCAACACTTGCTGAGACACACTTTCCCGGACACGACATGCGCTCGCTGGGGGAAACATAGAAGGCGGCGGACATCGAACATTCTGCGACGCAATCAGAGTCTTCTGAACTTGTCGATCGTTTTTCCGTCACTATGGTCGGTGCTCCGAACAGCTATCTCCAACACAACCCAAAAACCATCGGGTTTCCCTCAGGAGGCTAGGCGCCGAGAACCCCCCCCCCGTCTCTGCCCCCCGCCGGGTGTTCACCATCGGGGTTGGGTTTCCGTCGCTTGGCAACGACGTTGTAATACAAGCCCCCCAATCGGTGTTTGCCATCGGGATTGGGTTTTCGTCGCTTGGCAACGACGTTGTAAAACAAGCCAATTCACTTCGTGAACTCGGCAACCAGGTTACCGTTTTTTTTTTTTACCTCCGTTTTTTTTTTTGGCGGTAACCATAATGGTGGTCGAGTAGATCATGTTGTGCGGGGTGGAGAACCCTCACTCCGCGCAAGGGGGATGATCGCACCACGTTGTGTTAAAATGGTCAAGCACCCTCGAGGCAGTTACACAGTGCTTACAACTGTCTCTGGAAGTGAAAGCACCAGAAAATAAATTAAGTCATACGCAGCTGTCATCCGTACGCAAGGAAGTAAGCACAAGATGCCGAAAACCCTTAGCAGGATGCAGCTCACCCTTCATGCGACTCGCCCAATACCTCACGGCGTTTCGCGCTTGGTGATGTGAGAGCCTGGTCCGGTGAGAACCCGGCGTGCTCCGTCCCGGCTTTGTAGGGATGGGCGGTCAATGGTCTAACGACTACGGCATGCACGACTATGAGTACATCCCCCTCTCTTCATAGCTGATTGTTTTGGATTGTTTGTGTAGATCGTGTAGACGACACCGAACGCCAGCAGAAGACGAGCACATGGACATCTTGGGGGCATGATGTACTTGTCCAGAAGACCTCGTGACGTGGCCCTTTATGGTGTCGGCTTCGGCACGATCTTCGTTCTCTCGTGCAACGGAAGTGCGAGATGTGACACTAGGCTTGCTGTCTCCGGCGTTTACTTGTTGATTCCCCCTTTTTCGAGATGAGACTGCCCGAACGGCTTTCACGCTTGGCGCCAGCATCGACAGCCGAGCGTGAGCTCAGCCTCAAAGCACGTGCTGCCTGCAGGTTGGTGGGGGTCAGTGACAGGCTCGAGTTCAGCTTTGCGGATATCACGTTTACATCCTACGCCCGTTGTTTGAGTGCGTGGCGGAACTGGAATTCGGAGGCCTTACGTAGGGTTACGGCGAGGATCCGTACGATTCCGTAACCTGACCTGTTCATCTAGAGAAATCCATGTTCTTTTTGATAAACAAGTGCGTCGCCGACAACTGTGTGTGAGGGATCTCCTCTCTCTATACACGCCCCGCATTCGAGCCTTGGCTTGGTTGCTATGCAAGACATGATTTATACAGGCAACCTGAAGTCGACCGGCTTGCGGCACGTTGAGTTACTTCTTCACGGCCTTCTGTGCGTAATGACCAGGATTGGGTACGTCCAACACATCGTTGGAAGTTCGATATTTCCTACATCTGTTTCATTTACTTAGTGATGACACAAAGCACGTGTGAGCGGAAGGTTTTCCCTCGCTCCTTACCAGCTCAACGGTATATTATTGCCTGTTCTCAACCGTTGTCTGTGCTTGACCCCGTTAGATTCTTGCCTCTTGCTACGTCCATGCCTGTGTTTCTTGCTTTTGGCTCGCTGAACTTTGCCTCGCAGCGAAGATGCATGGAAGCTCATGAGGTGGCATGAATTCACAAAGGTTCAGGGAAAACCAATTCTGAAGACTTGGCCCATGTTTAATTACGACGACACGGAGAACGTGGACTACTGGCTTCATGAGGCAACGTGAGAGTTGACGTTTCGTGGTGTGTTTGCCCGCACATTTCACTTGCACTACCAGTGAAAAGGCGCAAAAAACGAATACACTGAATCCCGACTTACAGCGAATGTCATCAAGAATGTAGCGCTGTTAACACGTTTCGTTTGTGCGGGAGGAGGTACCGGCGCAGAATTCCCCACGGCTGCTGGAAAGCGTGGAAGAGCTCTCCTGCATATCTCTGTACCCGTTTTCGGCTTTATGTGAGCAAGGTTGTCGGAGCGCGCGCGTGCATTTGGCGGCGGATATATTTTTAGAGACAGACAGACAGAGAGACAGAGAGACAGACAGCCAAACAAAACCCAGAAGGAGAGACAGGGGCCATAGATGCTTACCATGTTAGATCATGCGTGAAAATGCTGGGGAGGTTTCCGATTTATTTTCATAGTAACGAACCAAACGGCAACACCAAATTGCCATCCTTTCCCTCCTCTGTGGTAATGACTAAGACTATCAGAGGCTGTGAAACGCTTATTGGGCACTGGAACGCCAACAAAAGCACGAACGAGTGCCTAGCCCGCATGACGAAGAGGGTTGCCAAGAGAGTGGACATGAAAGCAGGTCCGCGAACGGACACCGGCAGTAGCAGCATCAAGAGCATCAAACACAGAGGCACCACCACCACCACCCGCAGAAATGAGAGCAGGCTGAAGAGGAAGGGGTCACCGACTCAACGGTGTCTCTTCAAGCCGGAACGAGGCCCAAGACAGACCAAGAAAAATCAGTTCGCTCGGATGGCACGAGCACCAGGCAAGAAGCATGGCACATCCCAAGATTGAAACAGTATCGGCTGAAGCAATCTCGATATCGAAACAAGTCGATGTCCACAAAGGTCTGGATCCATGTGTAGCTCTTGTTGCCCCCCGTCAGAATCGGGGGGCAGCTGCCTAGAGACGATGAATGTGACCCTTGCCATAGTTCCGATGGTGGGGATTTTTCCCCGTTTGAAATTCTTCGGTTTGATTAGTTCTAGACAAAAATGGAGAAAACAGGCGCGTTGACTTCGCCAACCTCGATACATCGCTCACGCCCTCTCCACGGACACATCTCTCGGCCTACTTGCACTTCGTATCAAATCAACTCAAAGATCTGCCGCGCACGAGGAGCGCTAGGGCACGCAGCTTATCATCTCACTGAATCCTTCCCGCGCGCGCTCGCGACTCGAACCCACGACCCGCCAACAGAGTCTTTGGGCCCATCCACCTTCCGATTTTCGAGCAAACTAAAAGGTTCACGAGGAACAACCATTTTTCCTTTTGACCCTGTCTCATTCCCTCCCTTCGCCCAGCACCATTCCGATGCGTCTGTGGCAGCGTTGACGCCAATATGATGGCGGTCCTCATTATCGTTGTTTACCAGCGTTTCGTATCGACGTGGCATCTCCAACGCTCGTCAACGGAGCTTAACAAGGCATGCCGGCGCGAAGCGACTTTGGTCGTGACAGTTGGTGAAGGCTTCATGCCAGTGGGCTTCATGCCAGTGGACCGCCTGGCTCGAAGCAGGAAGCACAACGAGGTGGGAGTGCGCCGGGCTACGGCCGAAAAAACGATGGCTGGGCCAGGCGTCATGCCTGCGTCAAGGGTTCCACGAATCCGTCCGCGCGGTCTGGTACGGGGCATGGATGTAAAGGCACTCGGACCAGGGTGAAGTAGACTTCACTCACCACATGCGTTGCCTGCAACTCACCGCGACAGTCTGCCAGGAGCCTCCGCCGGATGGGCTTGAGTTGCCGGCGTCCCTCCAAGAGCTCAAATTCGGTGGACATTTTTACAAGACTATCGCCGGAGTCAAGTGGCCGCAGTCACTGGAGACGCTCAAGTTCGGGCCTGGTTTCAACCAGCCGATCCATGCAGTTGCGTTGCCGCCGGCACACGGCTGCTAAGGTTCGGTGCTTTTAACCAGCCAATTCACGCAGTCGCGTGGCCGCCGTCATTGCGGCGCCTCCAATTAGGGCTTAGTTTCGACAAGCCTATCGCCAACGTCGCGTGGCCGCCATTCCTGTAGGAACGGTGCTTCTGGCTAGAAACAAACTTGCGCCGAGTGGGCAAGCTCCAGGCCCCGAGCATCAAGGATCTGAGACTTTGAAGTCCGCCCGCACCGTTACTGGGCCTGGTCGGCGATAAATCACGGTGCTATGTACTCAAGTCTCAGTGGACCGGATGTGAGGATATATTGTGTATTGGCTATGGTCGTGCATGAGAGTCAACCCCCCCACCCCCCCCCGTTTGCCGTTGTTTTCCGACAGCGGTGGCGGGCGCGAGGCGCACCCCGTGCTCCACTGCCGGTTCCGGAGCCATTTCGACATCGGGCAGGTGGAGCGCGCGCTGGAGAAGAACGTCATTGCCGCCCCCACCAACGTGGCTCGGTGGTGCAAGAGGTGGCAGAGGCAGTAGGAGTTTAGACTCCCGACTGGGTGGCCACGCTAGCAACCGTACGGTCCTGATCGTTGGTGGCTACTCGGGAGTATATTGATCTATGAATGTATCGATCGAGCAGCAGATGTAATGTCGATCGTCGTGAGAGCGAGACTCTTTGTCTGCCCAAAGCAAACTTGTGAAATGATTGTGACTATATTTTTTCGGCGTCGGAGGGATTGAACTTATGATCTGGTGTAAAAGAGCAGCCAACCCCTTTTTCAGAGCTATTGCCGCTAGTTTCAGATTATATCAGAGGTTTGTTCAGAGGGGTCAAGGGTTTAGAACAACGTAGAATGAATGTGATGTTGACTCTGTTTGTCGGCCGTACTCCGCGTACTTATCGGGACTTGTTTGTGTAGTGTATTAACTTCAGACGGTGAGACAACGCCCGTACCCAGGACGCTGTCGTGCTCGGAAAG